TCCAGCCCTGGGAACCCAGGAGTTTTCCTTTGTCTGAGGACCCGATAGTGGAGCCCGAGATGGACCAGAATCAACTGAGCTTTCCTACAGGCCTCCGAGACAACGCCCACTGCAGGGCGGAGTCAGAGAGTGACGCTTCCTCGCCGTGATGATGAACTGATTAACTAACAGGAACGACCTTAAAACCACACCTCTTATGGCATTAATTGAGAAAAAAAACTCATACTAATCAAAAAAAAAAAAAAAAAGATTCTGTCGGGACTTCTGTTGTTTGATATTCAAACATCAGCCAATTATTTTCACAGTTTTTAGTGAATATTACCGAACATAGAAAGCTAAACCTGTCTTCTAACTCTTTCCTCAGAAGAAAAATGTAAACGAGATGTATGAAAGTTGTTTCCAAATGTTTTCATAGTCAGCTAAATATATCATTGGGACTTAGTGTGGTATTCTAACCTGTCAGGTGAACACTATGTAGTGCACTGTGTAGCAGACTTAAGAGGGCTTGACCAAAGGGTGCCTCTCTGCTGACTTCTATATGTATGCTTGTGTTGTGAAGTGACAAACCAAAACCTGACAAAAGTACTTGTCCGCATTATTCTTGGTTGATGGTCACGTACCAAGCAGAGATATTTTCCTCAGTTAAAAAGCACTTCACAGGGCGTCAATATCTTGCTCTCTTCCTTGACCCTCTCTTTTGCTGTTTCTTTTTAATTATTTCCCACCAGCATATGAATTATTGCTATGCTGATGTTCATGGCATCATGTATCACGTTACTGGAGAAATTGCAAGCTCTGCAAAACGAAGCCGTTAGTGCAAATTAGTTTGGCTCTCACACTTCGGCCCTTACATGTTCCAGGCTTTTTCTACATCATCTGTTGAGATTGTTCTTTGTATTCCTTTTTAAAGGAGCCAGATGCTTCACACAGACCTGCCCTTCTCAGGTTATGCAGTTGTTTGGAAACTTGTGTTAACAAGGCATCTGTTTTCCTTCACTTTGTCAGCGTGACTCCATATTAGTGTTAACACTATTCAGCACTGTCGCCCCTTCGAGAATCTACTTGCTATGCAACTCAACATTATTTTTGTGGCCCTGTCCTTTTCTTTTTCATACAATCACAATGTCTTTTTTATTTCTTTGATGTGACTTTCTCTTCATAGCTGTTTGAGACAGGTTTCATTGTAATTCAGACTGTTTCAGATGTTAAATCATTTGCAGAAAAAAAGAAAAAGAAAAACACCCTTTTGTAAATAGTACCATTAAAACAAATCAAACTCCATTTAGATTGTAAATCTCATCACTGTGTGCTGTAACACACAAAACATTTTCCATAAAACAACAAACCCATATTGCTTCTGTAATGTAATGTTTCTGACACCTCATCTACATCGGAAGCAAGTGTTAAAACTGATGCTACAGTTTGGCTTGTGCTACTCCTGACAACAGGGAAAATGGGTTTTCAGTGGTCACTAGTGCAGACATGTTGTGAAAGAAATTGCATATTCAGCTATGAAGAAAATAGCAGGATTTTATCCATCAGGAGATAATTAGATCGTGTAGAGTTTACATAGTAGTATGGAGCCATACCTGAATGCTTGCAAATTATTATGGAGGACCACAGGCATATTCACACCAAGTACAATAACTATAAAGATTTGATTATTCTAATTCTATGAGAATAGCCAATACCACTATTCTCATAGAAGGAATGAAAAAACACTGACAGCCAATCAGAATCCACCAGACATTAAAGAGAGCAAGCATTTAAAGCGGCAGATGACAAAACGGCAGTGCGCTAATAAAATAAACAGAACGATATCTTGAGTTGGTGTGGACACTAATATAATTATCATCATAGTTATCTTTATAGTTATCATTATTGGTATAAACGGCTTTAGTACTTACCACCTGAAACACTGCCAACACACTGTTGAGAAGACTTTCTGACTGATTGCCATTTAAATTCCTCTATTTGCTGACAATTACTCAATGACAAGATTTTAAGCTATCAAGGCTGTTTTACCTGAAAAACCGGTTCTTTTTCAAACAGTAGCTTGGTATCTCACTATGGGGAACGCCTCAGGCGTGATAGACTATGGAAGCACCAATCACACCGCGTTTGTCCGCAGGGCACACCAATCACAGCTCATGACCAGGACACCACCCCCTTCCTATATATATATATATCGCTGTGATCCCTGAAATGGCATTTTTGATCTCTTCCCTGTGAAGACTTAACTTCAGCACCTAAGCTGCACTGCTCCAGTTCACAGATGTACCGTTAAGGTTGACGTTGGCGAACACAGTGCAGTTATGATCTGTCATGGATTGCTCGTTATGGAGTTTTTCTACTTCGCTTTCAATAGTGCAGTCTTCAATAGCTAACGTGTCAAGGTGAACTATAAGTCTCTGACTTGTCCACCATGTCGGTGTCTAAGATTGTGCCAGAGAGAGGGAAAGAAACTAAGCAAGCCAAAGGCGATAGTGGCAAGGAACCAAAACTCCA